GGGGCAGCAGGGGGGCCCGCAGCCTGCGGGTGTCTTCCGAGCGGTGCGCTCCGCGTCTGGGAACCCACTGCCGGGTCCCTTCTCCCGCGCTCTATCGCTTTCCCTTCTTCCCTCGCACCTCTCTTCCTCTTTTCCCCATTTTCCTCTCCCTCGATTTTTCTTCACCCTGCCTTCTCTCTGCCTGTTTGCCTTCTCTGCCCCTTCCTGCTTGTCTCCCAACCCTTTTTTCTCTCTCTTGCCCTGTCTTTCCTCATCTCCTCTTCCTCTTTGCCGTTTTCTTCCTTTACCTTTCTCTCCTTTTCTGTCTTTTCCTTTGCCCGCTCCCCTTGCCTTCCTCGGTTCCTTCCCTCTCCTCACCTCCTGTTTCCCACTCCTCTATCCCTTTCCTTCTCCTCGTCCCGCCTCCCTCTCTGGTCCCCGGCTTCCCTCCGGCTTCCCTCTTTCCTCGGGAAGGAAAAGACTGTCAGGTGTGTGTCTGCTCTGGGGGAGGAGGGGCGCAGCCACAGCCACCTGAGGGGTCCCCCCTAGGAGGAGAGGGAGGAGACAGCGGTGGGAAGGGTCCTCTCTCTAGCTTCCTTCCTGCAGCCCCTCCTGGCTGCTCCCTCTCCCAGAATGAAGTTCCGCGCCGGGGTGGCCTGCTCTGACCCCTGCAGCCGAAGCTGCCCCTTTCTGCCCAGCACACATACTGCAAGTCCCCCTGCCCGCCTCCCACCCATTCCCAAGCTTGATACCTGTGACTCTTCTCTGCCTTTCAGACTTCTGCGCTGCCTCTTTTGATCTCTTTCCTCCTGTCTCTTGCTGCCATTCTGTCTCTGTCTCAGCGGACAGTCCCTGAGTCTTGGTCTCACCCTCAATCACATTGTGTCTCTGGCCTATGGGTCTGCCTCTGCTCCCCCCCACCCCATTCTGCCTCATGAGCCCAGTCCCCCTTCAAGGACTTCAGCTAGCAGTGTTCTGGGGGCAGGTTCTGGAGAGGCGGGGTTCCCCGTGGAGGAGGGACTTCCTCAGGCTCTCAGCCCTGTCTTAGGCTGCACTCCTTGTCATCCCATCCTGACCCTAGTCACCCTGAGACCACACCTCCATGAATCTCAACCCCTGGATTTTAAGTTCCTTTCCCTGGTAGCCCCCATCTCCTCCAGCCCCAGCTGCATGCCCATCCTGGAAGGGGCCAAATTTGGGGTTCCAAGCCCTCCCATTATCCCCTTTCTTATTTTCTTTCCAAGCTTCTCTACTCAGAGTTGACTGGCCAGAGATTTATCAGCTTGGAGGGCTGGAGGTGAATACAGACTGGGCCTGGGTGGAGTGAAAGCTCAGACTGTCTGCTCTCTGTCTTAGTCTGGGTTCTGGGCAGTGGGGTGTCTGGTTCCTTGGAGGTCTGGTCTTCAACATCTAACTTTGGGGGAGGGTGGCCATTAAGGGTTTCCTTGATTTGATCCTGAACAGCTACCTGTCCTACAGGTGTGGATCCATGGGGTAACCACAACGCATCTGCCTCTCTGCCCCAGCCAGCTCATGCCTCAGCCTCTGGGGTCAGTAAACAGAGCCCGGGCTGGAGCCCAAACATGTGGGGCCTTGTGAGGCTCCTGCTGGCCTGGTTGGGTGGCTGGGGCTGCATGGGGCGCCTGGCAGCCCCAGCCCGGGCTTGGGCAGGGTCCCGGGGGGCCCCAGGACCAGCACTGCTTCGGACCCGAAGGAGCTGGGTGTGGAATCAGTTCTTTGTCATTGAGGAATATGCTGGACCAGAGCCTGTCCTTATTGGCAAGGTAAGGATCAACCCTTCCCGTGTCTACCCTGACTCTCAAGGCCCTGTGCTCCAGCTTCATCACTTCTGCAATGACCTTGGTCCCTCAGGACTCCCAGCACTCCACCCAGTCCTAGACTTAGACTCCTTACCTTTCTGTCCCTGTGCTTGGAACCCGCTGCCATCTTCCCCTGACCCTTACAGCTGCACTCGGATGTGGACAGGGGCGAGGGCCGCACCAAGTACCTGCTGACTGGAGAGGGAGCAGGCACCGTGTTTGTGATTGACGAGGCCACAGGCAATATCCATGTCACCAAGAGCCTGGACCGGGAAGAGAAGGCACAGTATGTGCTACTGGCCCAAGCCGTAGACCGAGCCTCGAACCGACCCCTGGAGCCCCCGTCAGAGTTCATCATCAAGGTGCAAGATATCAATGACAATCCTCCCATCTTTCCCCTCGGGCCCTACCACGCCACAGTGCCCGAGATGTCCAACGTTGGTGAGTACCCCAAGTCTGGACGCTCCAGATCCCATCTCCTAGCTTGCCGTCACCTCTCTTCCCCCCACTGCTTTCTGCCTCAGAACCTACCTCCTTCAATTCAGCCCCATTTACGTCTGGGTTCCCCCTCATCTGCTGTTCTTCCCCACTCGACTCTGCCCCTTGCTGAGTGGGGTGCCGGGAATCCCCCACAGGGACATCAGTGATCCAGGTGACCGCCCACGATGCCGATGACCCCAGCTACGGGAACAGCGCCAAGCTGGTGTACACCGTGCTGGATGGACTGCCTTTCTTCTCTGTGGACCCCCAGACTGGTGAGAATAGAGCCCAGGAGCCGAGTGGGGCAGCCGTGGGAACAGGCACCCCCTGACGCATCCTCTCTCCCTAGGAGTGGTGCGGACCGCCATCCCCAACATGGACCGCGAGACACAGGAGGAGTTCCTGGTGGTGATTCAGGCCAAGGACATGGGCGGCCACATGGGGGGGCTGTCGGGCAGCACTACAGTGACGGTCACCCTCAGCGATGTCAACGACAACCCCCCCAAGTTCCCTCAGAGTAAGGGGCCAGTGCTGCTGCCTAAGCCATCATTTGACCACCCCATCCCTACAGCCTCGGGAGAAGGCTGCCCTCCCCACCCCTCCCCCAGCCAGGCCTGGGAGAAGGAGGAGCTGGGGGAGGGAGGAGGGCTGAGGACCTAAGAATGTCTCTCTCCATCCACCCAAAGGCCTGTACCAGTTCTCCGTGGTGGAGACCGCTGGGCCGGGCACCCTGGTGGGCCGGCTGCGGGCCCAGGATCCAGACCTGGGGGACAACGCCCTCATGGCCTACAGCATCCTGGACGGGGAGGGGTCCGAGGCCTTCAGCATCAGCACAGACTCCCAGGGTCGAGATGGGCTCCTCACTGTCCGCAAGGTTAGCCTCCTGTCAGCTAATGCTGCAGACCCACTCATACCATGTGCTACAAGACATGCTTCTAACTGGTCTAGAACAGACCTGGATCCATGTGTTGGAGCTTAAAGGTCATGGTCATCTCCTCATCTTTCAGATGAGGGCCTGGGGCCCAGGACAGGGGAGTGACTGGCTCAGGACTTTGCATTGAGCAAATCTGTGATGGAGCTGGGGGCAGACCTAGAGTTCTGACTGAGTAATCTGTACCCGCTCCCCACCTCAACCACCAAAGTCACTGCCCCTCTGGTGCCCACCCTCCTGGTTTCTACATGCCTCAGTCACTCCGTCTCCCTCACTGTAGCCCCTAGACTTCGAGACCCGTCGCTCCTACTCCTTCCGTGTGGAGGCCACCAACACACTCATCGACCCAGCCTACCTACGGCGAGGGCCCTTCAAGGATGTGGCCTCCGTGCGCGTGACTGTGCAGGACGCCCCAGAGCCCCCTGCCTTCACCCAGGCTGCCTACCACCTGACAGTACCTGAGAACAAGGCTCCCGGGACCCTGGTGGGCCAGGTGTCAGCTGCTGACCTGGACTCCCCTGCCAGCCCAATCAGGTGAGCTGAGGTGTGGGCGGGGGCAGGGCCAGGCATCCAGGAAGGGGCCCAGCAGGAGGCTATTCCCACCCAAGGATGTACCCCTTTTACTGCAAATCACACTCCCCTCCTAGCAGGGGTCTCCCCTCCTGCAGGCCTGGAGGCCAGGGGAGGGTTGGAGGACCTGACTAACCATTGAGGGATTCTCCACCCTTCTCTCTGGGTGGATGATAGTTGCACCTCCCAGTGGCAGTGAGTGGAATCTCATCTGATGAGTGCAATGGATTAATTGATGGCTATAGTTATTGATCATGCCCTCAATACTTCACATTTTACCCACTTGATAACATTTCATTCTTGCAACAGCCTGTGTAGTAGTCTTTATCATCACCATTTGATTCAGAGGCTGTGCCCTGAGAGATTGAGTAACTTGCCCAAGGTCGCACAGTCAGTACATAGCAACACTTGGATTCAAATCCCAACTTGTCAGCCTCAAGAAGACCCACTCTTTCCACCTCCCCCACCAGCATCCCTGTCACAGCACTGAGGGAGGTGCTGGTGTTGTTCCCATCTCATAATTGAGGAAACAGGCTAAAAGATTTACCCAAGGTCACACAGCTGGTCTGGGACAGGGCAGGGCTAGAACTCAGGTCCCTGATCCCCAGAACAGAGCCCAGAAGTCCAAAAGACAGGCAGTGTTTACCCTGCGTCCACCTCTTTCTGTCTTTCTCCCCGCACCTCCATGAAGCCCAGTCTCTTGGGTCTCAGGTGTTTAATGTTGATGACTCCTCAGGAATATTTGTCTCTTGAGGGGATGCTAATGTGAATTACAGCCCTGCATTTGTAGGGCAGACACTGCCCAGTGACCTAGGGTCCTCTGCCCAGATGAGCCATGAGGCCCAGCAAGGCGAGCAGAAGGGAGGGAGAGGTAGCCGTGAGCGCAGGCCCTGCCCCAGAGCAGCCCCAAGCCAGGCTCCATCTCCCCAGATACTCCATCGTCCCTCACTCGGACCCAGAGCGCTGCTTCTCCATCGAGCCTGAAGACGGCACCATCCGCACCGCAGCGCCCCTGGACCGCGAGGCTCGTGTCTGGCACAACCTCACAGTGCTGGCCACAGAGCTTGGTGAGGAGTCCTGGGCCCTCAGGGGGTGGGGAGAAGGCAGCAGCCTCTGGGCAGTGGGACCATCCCTGAGTATGGAGGTGGGGAAGGGCATTAGTGCCATGCACCCTCACCAGAGGACAGCCAGTGGGTCCCCAGCCTGGACCACCACCCCCAGGCAGGCAGGCCTCCTGGTCCCCTGGGCTGGCCTGGGCACAGTGGGTCCTCCTGAGCATTTCCCCTCACCTGAAATTTGCTCCCAGACCTGACTTTCCCCAACCCAGAAAGAAACCTAACCTCAAATAGCTCCCAGTCCCTAATGAACCCCACCCTACACCTTGGGAGACCCTGCCTTGCCCTCTCTCTGCTTTAGGCTGAATGGGGTGGCAGAACAGGGCTGGGCCTCTCTCCTGGGAGCTGACTGGGGGGGCCCCAGCAACCTCTCCCAGGGAAGCCCTGCTGGGAGCTCTCAAGGGAGGGGAGAGGGCCCAGCTCGGCCTGCTGCCCACCAGTCACCAGTCACCAGCAGTGTGGTTCAGCTGCTTCTGGGCAGCAGTGGCCCTTGAAGGCAGGGAGATCTCCCTCCCTTCTGTGAACCTCCCCTACCACCCCTGCTCACAGCCCAGTGTCTCCTACATTTACTATCTGTGTCCCGCCCATGGCAGCTGTCACTGTGCGCATACATATTTTTGTATGTCAGTGGAGAACTATACATGTATGTACATGTGGGTGTGTACGTGTGTGTGTGAAAAATACATACACATGTACCTGTGAGTATATAACTGGATATATATATGTATATAGTTGAGTGCTTAGAATTATATTATTTGTGTATATGTGTAAATGGATGTGTACAGTGATAGGTACAAGTAACTGTATACAGACAGTTTTGTGTATGTGAGTGTTCGTGGACGGATGATAATAATCTACTACTTATTGTGTACCAGACACTGTTCTAAGTGTCAAATAGAGATTAATTCATTTAATCATCACCACAACTTTATGAGGGAGGTACGAGTATCTCCCCATTTTAAAAGGAAGGAACTCAGGCAAAGACAAGTTAAGTAACTTCCCAAGGTCACACAGACGTTAAGCGGTGAGGCCGTCAGTCCCAGTCAGGCTGCAGAGTCTGAGTTGCTGTCTCCTCCCCACACTGCCTCTCATATGTGTTGAACTGCATGTGGGTAGGTTTATGTTTATGTCCATACAGCTGTGCGTTACGTGGCAGTGCATGTGAGTCTGTTCGTGTGAAGGTCCCTGTGTGTGTATATGTGTATACAGAGTGTTTGTGGCTCCCTCTGTGTATGTGTGTGTGTGTGTGTGTGTGTGTTCCCCTCACTGTCTTCTCACCTCCTGCCAAATCCTGCTCCCCTCCCCTGCAAGCCCTGATATCAACTAGCAGGCCCTGGGCCCTTACTGCAGCGAGGGAATGGACTCCAGCCCTGTCCTGTCTCAGGGTATCCCAGACCCTTTAGCCAGGCAGCCCACCCCTCAGCCCCTTCCCGAGAGTCAGCCATCTCTCCCCTGATTTGGGGGAAAGACTAAAGGAACCCAGAGGCTTAGCCTAGGAGAGGTAAGCACCAGAGTGGGCAGGGATACGCACTTTCCATTCCCTCTTGGATGTCCTTGGCAGTGAGGAGCAAGGCAGGGTAATGGTGAAGAGCCACTCGATGATGAGGGGGCCTGTGTCCGACTGTGGTGCCCAGGCTGGCCCAACTCTGCACCTGAGTATCACGCAGTTCCTCCCTCCCCAAGGTCAACTCTAAGTGATAACTCATTGCTACCCCACAGCCTCCCAGACCTCTGATGGGACACATGTGTGTGTGTCTGTGTGTGTATGTCCGTCCAACTGAGTGAAAATGCATTCTCTGGGTCCTGGGGGGGTGGTGATACTGCATTCACTGTATATATCAAACATCTACTTCATGTATGTTGCATTTGTTTTAAGTGCTGAGTGTACATCAAATGTGGTATGGATGTGTTTGTATCTTTCATGGCTATTGTCTGTGTGCATCCAGTATGCATCCTCAGTCTACCTTTCACTTATGGTGCGTGTGCCCTGCATGTGGGTTATTACATATGTACATCATGGGTGCTACACTCCTGTTGAATATATATGGTGATTTGCACATATCTTGGGTACCACATGGATGTTGTATGCATTTGTTCCATTCATTTCACACCATTGTTTGCTACTTGCATATTGCACGCATACCTCATGTGTGGCACGGGCATGCTGTGTGTTGCATGTGGCATCCATGCCAACACACCACATATGCTGTGTGTAACTGCGTTGTGTGTGCTCATGTGGGGTGTATGTGTTCATGTTCTGGCTTCAGACAGCTCTGCACAGGCCTCCCGGGTGCAAGTGGCCATCCAGACCCTGGATGAGAATGACAATGCTCCCCAGCTGGCTGAGCCCTACGACACCTTTGTGTGTGATTCTGCAGCCCCCGGCCAGGTGAGCTGCTGAGGCAGAGGGCTTGGGGCCTCAAGACCTCTAGTTGCCCACCCCTACAAGGCCTCTCTTCTTCCTTTCAGCTGATTCAGGTCATCCGGGCTCTGGACAGAGATGAAGTTGGCAACAGTAGTCGTGTTTCCCTTCAAGGTCCTCTGGGCCCTGATGCCAACTTTACTATCAGGGACAACCGAGGTGGGTGGCCTTCTGCAACCATGCTCATGCCTGCCTCCCCCGTCCTCTCCTCCTCCAGCACCCCCAGCCCTGCCCACCTACCTGGGCCCTCCACCCAACAGAACATAGATGTGGATTTGCTCTTGGCAAAACTTCCCCATGGCAAGCCGTCTCCCTGGGTTGCACCAACCCTACTGGGAAGGTGTCCCAGGAGATGCCCCAACACCTTCGTCTCCCACAGATGGCTCTGCCAGCCTCCTGCTGCCCTCTCGCCCCGCTCCACCCCGCCAGGCCCCCTACCTGGTTCCCATAGAGCTGTGGGACTGGGGGCAGCCGGCACTGAGCAGCACTGCCACAGTGACTGTCAGCGTGTGCCGCTGCCGACCCGATGGCTCCGTGGCATCCTGCCGGCCCGAGGCTCAGCTCTCACCCACCGGGCTCAGCACCGGGGCCCTGCTTGCCATCATCACCTGTGTGGGCACCCTGCTTGGTGAGTCAGGCCACAGCGGGACTTAGATGTGGGGTCTAGGCCTGCAGAGGGTGTGGAGAGGAGCCAGGATCCTGGACATAGGGAAATCCACCCTAGGTATTGAAGGAACCCTCATGCTTGGATTTCCCTTGCCTGATGCATCCGAGAGAAAAGCTCTGGCCTCATATCCCTGACCCTCCGATCTGTAACGACAATAACGAACCATAAAAGCTGTTTATTGAGCCCTAACTCTGGTTCATTTCATCCTCTCAACAATTCTAAGGGGTAAATATGTTTCTCCTATTTTCCACCCAAGCAATCTAACGACTAAAGAGGTTCAGAGAAGTTAAGCAACTTTATATAGTCACACAGCAAGTATAGGGTTGAAGTCAGGATTCAAAGGAGGTTTGCCAGATGTCAAATCTAGGGCTTCCCACCCCTAGACCTTTCTATCTGGAACCGGGCCGCCTGGTTCCGCGCCCTGCCGGCTCACCGACCAGTGCGCGCCTCTCCCTCAGCTTTGGTGGTGCTCTTCGTGGCCCTGCGGCGCCAGAAGCAGGAAGCGCTGATGGTGCTGGAAGAGGAGGACGTGCGAGAGAACATCATCACCTACGACGACG